GCTTGTCGTTGCTCGATGCCCCATGTCCAGATAACTATTAATTTGCTGCCCCTTGTGTATAAGAACTAACCAACATTCCGCCACTTGAATGTCGGATGGACGGTAATCTGGGTTATTCGTTACTTACGTGCTGCGACAACCAGCAAGGGGCGCCAAACCACGTTATATCTCTTCAGCCAATCAGTTTTCAACGAAATGGCAGCCGGAGCTTCCAAAAAGCACCCTACGCGGTTATTCGCCATTTTAGCCCGCTTTTTGACGCAATTCACGTGCTAATTTTTTCCCAACAAAATCAAGGTGTTCACAGATGCAAGATTTATGAGCTGCCTAGGGCTGGCAGTTAATTGGACCGAACAACAGTCGCTTCCAATGCCGAGATTTACGAAGCACACCATTCCTTTCCGACTTTACCTGGCACCCAGCTCTCTTCGGGGCTCCACGAAGCCGTGTCAAGCGCGATGACCGCCTTTAAGATACGATGGAAGTCGTTCATCTGCATCCTCCACTCCTTTGACTTTCGTCAGTGAAGTCTGCTCAGAGGGCCAAACATGCTCCCCCCTTGCATACAGGCTCAACACAACGTCGTACGGTAGTGCGACTGGGCCCTCGCGCCTAACCACCTACGCGGCACGTTTGCCTTGTACTTTCGCATGACTGATCACACATGCTTGTGAAATGCCTTTATTAATTGTAAGTGGGCGGGGATGGGTGTGGTGGCCGCATTCTTCCACCAACACGCAAGCGGCGTCCAGTCGTCCAGTCAGAAGTTTGTCGACCACCTCGGATATTTTTAACGCAGTAAATCAGCAGTTCTGCCTGGTCATTGGTTTGCGGCATGCTGAAATATGTAGGTATTAGATTCTGCTCCTAAGCCGGGTCACGTGGAAGGTGCGCCGAACCAATACGGGGGCATATAAGAGTAAGACAGGCTTTCTTGAGGATGTGCACCCACAACGAATTCCACATATAGGGAGGTGCTTTGGCACACCTGTGTTCAGACTCACACCGCGCCAGCCACCTGCTTTCGACTCCACCACCGGTCTTCTTGGCTTTGTCATGGCCCTGGACTCAGGTGGGTGGAGAGGTGAGAATGTGGTAGACGCGCATCGCAAGTCCACTATCACTATAACCCAATTCATGCGGAAGTCTCCGTTCCTGTGTCCACCATGCTGTGTCGCATGCGGTGAACACCGTCGGAATCAACGACTGAACTGGCATGTAGGTATTAGATTAGAAAGATAGTGTCAGTAGGCAGACACTTTAAGTCTGAGAAGTCGACGCCGCAAAAAGTGACCATCGGAGGGGATAGATTACTCATCACGGCGACAAAGGCAAATATATTCGCTTCCAAACCTGCACTACGCAGACTTACTCGCTTTCCAGTATCGTTACCTATATTGCTACGTCGTTTGAACGAGAAGAAGACACAATTAGAGAATCCCACTCGTTATCATCTTCTGAAGGATGCTCACTTGAAGGCAGGAATTTTGTTGTCTATGAGACGATGCATATGCCCTGATCGCATCTGGAGTCCAGTTATTTGAAAAGATTAACCAGGACTTGCCCTACGGCACAGGAATTTAAAACTTCGTATCTGAGGGACATGTCGCATGTAGTCCATGTTCTAGTGCACACACCCCGTGGTTCAAAGTGATATTGGCCCTGTTGCGTGTGAAGTACTATCCAGCTGAGTGGAAAGAATGACCTGGTCATCTCAAACAAGATGTAACCAATAGGGATTTCAAAGGTACACACCTACTTTCCCTGAACTACACTGATACTGAAGAATAGAACCGGCAAAAAACACTGTAACATCCTCAAATATCATCTGTTAGCATGGACGGTTGAAATTAGGCTATAGCTCTTGCGGGACGATAACATCAGATTTTACCATCCCTTTTTGTTGAAACGTTTCAAGCCATGCCGATGAGCCGGTGACTCAATGGTTGGAACGTTGAATTAGTAACCGAAAGAGCGTGGAATCGAGTCTCGGACGCTCCAAGCCTGTGGTTGGGTACGGCTGGCTGAGGACGGTTAACAGACCTGAAATGGTCACTCCAGTCTCCCTTGTCTTTGTCGGCAATCTCATCCTGCATGCTGACTGTGGTAGAATGAATAACTCAATGATGGTCAGAGTGTCCTGCGTCCCACAGCACCGTTTCGGGACTTCGATACTGCGGAACTCCGGCGAGAAAACAGTGCCTTCAGATAAATCGCTGACTTTGAAGGGCTGATCTAAAAATCCCGGTGCGGCTCGAGCGCTCAGCTTGGTTTTTTTTAGGATTTTGTCAACGAGCATCTGCAAGCCGAATGTAAGGCCGTTCTCAATCAGCCGCTAACCCGAGAAAGAGGACCAAATCAACTCGGCAACTCCCAAGTGAAAAGGAATCAGCTGTGTACCTAATTCAGTTGAGGCCTGCGAATACAGTCACCTGGAGCAACTTGAGAAAACGGCGTATATTCTCAAGGTGTACTGACAAGTAAAAACCCCACCGACTTTAATGGTGTCGCTGTAGTTCCTCTCAACACGTGTAGAGGGAACCAGAAAACCGATAACCATTGAAGACTCCTCCCTTAAAATCTTTTCTAGAAATACTCAAAGTAGGCCGCTGAATCATCAGGTAGTTTGCCTGAAATTAAACTCCCACCGGAAACGTAGAAGGACTTCCGCAATGGGCGCGACACTGCCAGTAGGGTTATTGTTGCCTGACGCCTTCACTAGCACTGCCACAGCAGTAAACGTCTCAGCCTTCAACAAATGCCCGTCATTAGGAAGGCGTTCAAGGATGAGACTCGCTACGCCCTATTCGCCAATAACTTAGCCCTCAGTACCATTAGAGAAGCAGATTTACAGTGGGGCCTAGGCCTCATTGTTCTCTGAAACACAACTTGGAGTAACGATCTGTGGGGCGAAAACGATCATCCTGGGCTATTTAGCACCAGTCGCGTACTGCATTGAGCAGGCAGTCACCGCCAGCTGTTTGGGATACAGTTGCTCATCTGAGCATGAAGGGACCTGACAGTCGCGAAAGAATGTGAAGCCAATTAATCGGTTGCTAAATTAGTCTTTAGCGTAAACAGCTGTGGCGTCCACCTCAATATCGAGCAGAAACTCTAAAGAGCACTGTAACCAAAAGCATGGCTAAAGGACGCAGAGACGTCTAGTATGGAACAGCCCTAAGCGAGGAAACTTAATAATTTTAACCTAGACTGCTTTCTTCCTAAAATCATGAAGGTGAAGCGACGAGAGTGGGTTCTGTAAAATCAACCAGAACGCTCCGCTGCTCTCATGGCTGGAGTTGATACAGTTTCGGCAGAACACCGGCGTCGTTAGGATGTCAGGTCGGCGTCTGTAAAACGACTGTCTTGTCATACTATAGCAACGGGATCTGACAGAGAAGGAGCCCGAGAGGAACAATACAGGAACTTTCTGAGGACCTCACCCCGATATTGCGGAGTAGACTAGAGTTTTAGAGCGTCTCTTGTGCAGGATTTTCAGTCATGGATTGCTGGCGCCAAGACCGTTGTGAACTCCCGGTGATCAAAGCCCTATGAAAAATGATGATAGTGTAGGACTATGACGCCCTGTGGATCTTCATTCGCTCGCACGACGCAAATTTGGGGTCCGAAGTGGAGCATCTGTACATCTACGAATTCACCGCAACGTCACCACAAACACGGTGTGACCGACTACCTCGCAGCTTCTCCTCACCGCTAACACATCTGGGTGCCAATTGACCTACTCAAATCCCCATGAGCTAGCCACAACGCGAACTGCGCAATACATCACACAAAGTCCATACGAATAAAAGGCGTCTTTGATAACAAGGAACCACCACTCATGAACAGGAGTTCCCCAAGTTAGTACTGAACCTGGAAGTAAAAGCACTGAAACCAGCCTTGTCTGATATTCAGACATCCGAGAGTCCCATAGGGGAGGATACTGAAGATCCAAGCAGTTCCTCACTCCTGAACGGGGGGGCTGCCGACAAACATGGTGCATAAAATCAGGATTCAATTTGTTTTACAAGTCTCCCGTGGTTCCACCTTTTCACTTTGCTAGTGGCAGAACAACTTCACAATACAGCTTTGATTAGTTATTCCAACTCATGACTGGCCGATTTCCGCTAACTCTTCGGCAGACATGCTATCGGTGACATTTGTTCTAACTAGAAAGATAAATCTTTACCTGTGACAATACTAAATCACTTGTTTCTTTTTCACCCGACTCGTAAAAAGTAGTGTGTTATCGGATGTGGATTTACGCCTTTCGTTGAGTAAATACCACATATACGACCCTGGCCGTTTAATTTTCGGCGAAACTTTGATGTCTTCTTCGCGGAAAAGTAATACCGTTTCCCCGGACATCTGCTGCCTTACTCTTCCTACCTTCCAACCTCTCTGCATACGTTATTAGGACCAAAAAGGACGTTTTTACGGCGCTTGCTCGTTGTAACAGGGGTGCTTGACACCGTCCTATATAGACAGAAACTTGCCGTTCGGAATTTTTATATCTGTATGCTCTGATTTGGTATACACTGTGGAAAGCGACACCTCGAAGTAATTGTTGGTATGATATTAAGTGCTTGTTTGCTTTCCGGTGTAAAGGGGCGTTGTTTCTCAGATTGTGATTGCCCCCGTAAACACATCTTTGTCCGAGCCAGTAGGACGAATGTGGATAAAGGTCTCTGTGTGTCCACCTGTTGCGGGGAATGGTCCACCGTCTGGTTGGGGTCTAAGTCTGTCATATCTTGCAGCTCAGGGGTTGACAGGTAGTTGAGCTTAACCAACCCAACAATGAATGGGGTCAGTCCAGCTTCAATTGGACGCAATTGAACCGAAAGTGCGTCTCGGTCGCCACGCTCAAATTAGAGTTTTGTGCGGGTGGCTCATTATCAACGAACAGAGATTATTTTTAAGCTTCATGAACCCTTGACTCCTTACTCATAACCCTCTCATGTTCAAGTCTGCAAAATGCAGTCACCTCATCAACGCCTTCAATGATTACCTTTCAAGGTCAGGGATATAACCTCCTCACGCCGGACAAATTGCATGTTGCAAACTGGCTCAGGACCCTTCCACCAAACACTACGACTCAGGGTTACGAGTCACCCCTCTCCTCTGTCAAGCAGCTGAAATCACCGGTGCGACAAGAGTCGGTCCGGTGCGAACCATCTCGGAGCTTGTTGACGTCCCTCAATACGATCACCACTTCTGCTGCCCCGCTGGCGATGGCCGAACCCGATCAGGGAGATACCGGCCCGATAAACTTTACGGGCGATCTACTGACTTCCCGTGGTTTGCCCCGCCCTCTAGAGAAACCGCGTCCCACCCTCTGCAAGACTGACTCCAGTCCTGCGCTCAGTGACCTCGAAACAAAACCCAAGACTACGACTGAAAATCAGGTACGTAAACACTTATCGACCCAAGCACATCATCTTAGGCGTTAAACCACTGTCAGGGCACTGATTTGTTTTGGTGGGAGCACAGTGGCTGTGACACCTTGCACCAATCCCAGGTTTTTATACGTCAATCTATTTCTAAACCTACTTTTTTGTCCAGGCAATTAGCCTTCTGCTTTGCAGTCCTTTCCACCCACCGTCTTTATTCATTTCACCAGGGCTGGCCATCAAATTTCCGCCAAACTTGCACATAGGCCAAACATATTTCCTCATCTAATTCCAGGGGTGGAAGCCAAGTGTGCACATCAGGCAACCATACTATCTCGACACTACTATACCCGCCGCTGTTGCCCAATGTTTAGAGGACTTAGATTATGTGCACTTGGAGAGTGCCGGGAGAAAGTGGAGTAAAATTCTGCCAATACTGTGCAAGATGACGTGGTACTGAGATTCACGTCACATTGGTGATCTGCACTAGTATGATAACAGTACTTACTGTGCTTGCGCTGCCACCAACGACCCAGTCGCCCTGGATACTGTGGGTAAAATTAGGATGTCGAGTTTAAAACTCGAAACCGAAGAACTGAGGCTTCTTTGACTAGTGAAATATGAGAGGTACTGACGACTGTTACTAACGTTGGGGTAATTTTCGCCGCGTCTTCTGTGTGGCTCCGTCCACCGGGCCTCCTCTGCCACCTTGGAAGACTTACCCCAAAGACTTTACTCCTAGTTCACAAACTAAAAAATACTTAGTAATGGAGAGCTGGAGTACTCATATGCCAACGACTACATAAGGTGCGTTGAGGGGCCAAACGGTAAGCCGAACTCCTCGCCTATGTGTCATAGATCGACACGAAATGCGCAAAATGCATTTCTAGGATTTCTGGGTGTTATTACTACTTGGACTGTGGTCGATCAATCTCACGCCGAACCATTACCGAAGCCCCCAACTTCCCTCTCTGGCACCTACTGTAGCGCTATGCCCACTCTCTCCCCTAGACCTCTGCCTGTTGATCTTATGTCTGGACCCCGTAAAGGTCTACTAAGACATTCCCACATCTCTCTATTCATTTCGCCTGACGATAATTTGGTGATACCAGCATGAAAGGACATAAGTACAACCCGATTTCTTGCGGAGAACCTCATCTTTTTTTCCTTTTACGGTCTCATATTGCGTTCTACTTTATATATATGCGGAGAAGGGAATACCGACAGAGACAAGGAGACTGGGTTGAACCTCTCTAGCTTATTAGCCGTTGTTTGTCGCCCATACCAAATCCCGGAGCAGGATGACCTGGGATTCGGCCCCGGATTTTTTGATCATTGAACGTGAAGTGGTCTAACGTTCTACCATCGAGCCACAGCCCATTGTCATGTCGGTTCTGATCTGAAATATTGACTATGATGAACGGACGTTCACCGATCAGGTTACGAAACATGTTCGTGCCGTTGTGCCTTCGAGCCCAATCTAGAGTCCTCGCAGGTAATAGCATAGTGCCTAGTGGAAATGCAGATAAGGGATAGCGCACTGTCCAATGAAACCGTGTCCGAACCTCGGGTCCCGCTAACTCGGAGTTTGTTATGCCTGGCTGACGATGGCTAACAAGCCGGAAATGGTCGCCCTGGCCCCCCTTATCCTTTTCGAAAACTCCCTTCCCCTTATTTGAATATACTTCTTATCTCTGTGCAACTTTCCGCGAGGGCTCTGGGTTGCAGCACAAGGAACAACGGAACAAGCACGCCCCGTAACATGGTTTGTGACCGCCCCTCTGTCATAGTTAATGTTTCCGGTCACAACCGACAGGACAACGGGCCTGTGACTCAGCGATAGAACGTTAGACTTACTAACGCTGAATAACTAAAAGAACGCGGGTTCCAACCTCAGGCACTCCCCAACCTGGAGTTGGGTAAGACTGACTGGCGGCGACTAATAAGCCAGAAATGGTCATTCCACTCTCTCTTGTGTTTTTCGGATTTCCCTTCCGCATATATTCCTGGCCTTTATGCTTTTGCCCGGAGACACAAATGGACGTGCTCCTAATGGGTGCATCACCCTCTCTTATCATTGGTCCTTATCTCATGCGCAAGTAGTGCCTTGTATGGCACTTGCAGGTTGGTCCTACGGTTGATCGAGTTGGCAGCAAATTGCCAGGCTTCGATTATCTCTCTTTCGCCAGCCTGCTTTTGGATCAGCCAAGTGCTTGGGCACTGTCAAGGTTGTGCATCTTTCCGCATTGTGGTTAGGGCATGCTCATGCATGGACGTTCTTAGTCGTCTGTCAGTCATGCCGCAGTGGTTGGCCAGGCAGTCTAGACAGTGGACGCGGTAAACAACTCCCGACATGTCAAGTGGTAGCTGATCTTTGGGCCGCATGAGTGAACGGCGGTTAGTGGCCTCCGGCCAGTGTCTGAAGCCCACGTTGAGTAGTTTGGCATGCGCTCAGAAGCTTCGGTGACGTAGGGCAAAGCACGAAAGATTTCAAGCCTTTGTTTTTTCCGTCATCCTTCATGCGCATTCCGTACAAGCATTTTTTATGAAGCCACACGAGTATCCAGTGCTGCAGTGAATGTTCCTGTGGCTAAGGGATGTCCGGACGCAACTACGTGTATGCGAAAGTGGATGCTTGCTGTTGTATTCGAGCCGTCTTTTCAAAGACACCTGTCTGGAAGGTTTCATCCCCCTGCCTCGACACCTGGACATCCTTTTCTTTCTCAATTTTGAATCGAGTTTGGGGAAAATTGAGTTCAATTCCCTCTTTAAAGGTCCCTTTTGCGTCCCGATGTAGGATGACGAAGGTGTCGTCCACGTAATGCCTCCTGAACTTCGTGTTGTGGGACCGAAAGACTCCAGTTTTCAGCTCCTTAACGAGTAGTCGAAAATCTGGGTTTCTTGGATTCTCGCGTAAGCGTGGCCGCTTAACGTGAAGTACGTGCTTGAGCTGCAGATCAGTGGCTCCATCGCGTGCTTCCTGTTAAGGGATTTTCCCTCTTCATCGTACCTTTTCTCCAGTAGGTTACTGACGACCCTCATGGCCAATTCCTAAGGGATAGGGGTAGGCAGAGAGACTCCAAAAGATCTTTTTATTCCCTAGGGGACTATTATGACACTTTGCGGTTTTCCAGGAAGTGCGCTGAGGATACAGCTGTGTTCCGAACCTTCTGCCAGTCTCTTTAAATGCTCGCCAAGCCAGTTAGCCAGTCCTTGGTTTGGTCACCTTTCAGCGGCACGATTGGCCATGGGAAAATATCTGGTTTTTTGACTTTGCTAAACCATAAGGACGCGCGATGGCCGTATCTTTTATTTATATCTGTCTTCAACCGTTTGTAGATGTTACCTGTTGGTCCCTCACTAGATTCGGATTCTTGCGTCAGAGGTTAGAGTCGAGGGCTTTATATGACTGGCTATAGTTTAATGGCTCCAGAGATATTACCACGAACACTGACTTGTCCAAGATGACGGTTGTCCGCCCTTTGCCCGCCGGAACAATCACAATTCCCTCGTCCCTCTTTAATCCCCAAGTGACCTCTACCTCGGCTGCGGAAATCGTTCGACGTGGTCTGTGGGATATGATGACAGATGCGACTCGTTGGCGAATCGAGCTCTTGGAGTCCTCTATAGCCCTCTTTTTTGAGAGTGTCGTCTCCAGAGCAGCGATAGAATCCTCTGGATGCGCGTCTCCTGTGTTGAAGCCAGATTCGTTTTTGAAACACTTTAATCTAGTTATTCGCCATCTGTTTGAGTGATATGTTGTGCTAAGCTTTGCATCTTCCTTCTGAGCACACCTTTACATTGACTCTTTCACACCTGCTCACATCGTTTTAGTCAATGTGCTGCCGTCTTTCATGCCATCCGAAAACTTGGTTAACCTGTGACCCTGGAGAGCGGTGGCAAACGCCGGGTGCGTGGTAAGCCGAGGGTGGGCGGTACCAGCCATTGCGGCTGTCCAAAAAACGCTGGCCTGGTCAGCTCATGAATCATGTGACTGTCACACCTCGGAAGAAATTCTCCACCGAACTTGTGTATGATGCTCTTGTCGCTCTGATCGAGCGTCGGCTGTGCGGCTACTGTTGATTTGCATTCGGCCAAACGAGTTACAACTGGTGACCGGACCGACGAGTCCGGTCCGTGATAAGGAATCAAAACCGCGTGTGTTCGTTCCGTCCACGTGCTTCCGCGCCCGTCTGATTCATGGCCTGTGCCCATGTAGTGCCCCTGGTGAATCATTCACCCCGATTCCGAGGCGGCTGCTGCGCGTCGTGACTTAGTTTGCGGCTTATAGGTCTTACTGTCAAAGGGGGACGTCGCGTTCCCATCCCTATGATGGGGCTGAGGTAGTACACGTATCACATGTGGCCTCGTGCTATATTCCAGGGGGTTGTAGTCGCCGTTAATGTTTGGATTAGGACTACGGTTAGGGTTACGAGGGTTAGGGTCGGAGTTATTGCTAGGCTTATGATTCAAGGTAAGACATGGGTATAGACAATTCCCCGGAATTTAGCCCAGAGCCGTCTCTGGTACGGGATGTCCATATTCCCGTGTCAAACGGGAATGTGGTTGTAACAAATAAGTTGTGGGGGTGTGAACGCAATGCGCTACAGTAGTCAGGCCAAATTCAAAATTGTAAGGAGAAGACAGAAGGCACCAGATTGAGGGTTTAATGTATGCAGAACCGGTAGTTGTCCTCTCAGGCGTCCGCGACCTCTATTGACTGCATCCAGTCGTGCCCGAGACTCCCTGAGACAGTGGTGGCAGCCGCTTTGGCAGCCTCGTGAGACAAGCTCAACTTGTGTTTAAACGGTGTGTGTTGTATTTGGCGAGGGGCGGTGTCCCAGTGGCGTACGTTGTTGGTTGCAAGGGCGTGGCGTGTCCAAGTGGCGCATGGGCAGCTGCGACTCTGTGGGGACGCAATTGTGCCCGATCTGAAGTCGGTCAAGTGACTTCAGATCAGCTCGTCTGGGACGGCTCGCTGCAAGGGGTGAATGACTTTGAGGCAGCGACGTCTTGAACAATGACCCCAGACCGGTCATGATGGCTGGCCGCTACATGTTCGCAAAGCCGTGCGCCCTCAGGTGCGCTCCTCCCGTTTTGCTGTGTAACTCCAACCTGGAACCACCGTAGACGGTCGCATGGCAACAAACGCTCAGTAATTTAGATGAAAATGGAGGTTGGGCTTGGTTGTCGTCACCACCTATCCATACCCCAACCTCAAACCCGGAAGACCTGTAATTCGGACCTGGCTTTATCTGCCGATCGTGCGCTTTACTAAAACGACGTACAACGTTACGCCCATTTTTCTCATTCTACCATGAACGCTGTTTGTAACTTATGGGCAGGATTACAACAGATAATTTATTAAGTGTTTAAATTGTGGCCTTTTATTTCGAAGAGGCCCATCAACCAATTTCTCCTTAGGAACGTCCGTCTCGACAGTCAACTATCTGGCTGGTATTCTAACATGTTTCCTCAAACATCCTTAGTGAGTTTCTTTTCTTAATTTTTATAAATCTACTGCTCCTGTGCACTTGACTGAAAGTCTTACGGTGGCACTTGTTGTGCGCCCGGCACGGCAATGTGTAAATTCGAAGGAAGGGTGGAGCTCGATCTTTCGAAAGCTCCGTGAGAGTGGAGTTGGTCGTCGCATGGCCGTCTTCACTTTCATTTTGTCCACACATTCTGGCTTCTTCACGCCATGCCGTAAATCATGCAATAAATAAAGATCCTCTTCCTGCATATTGTAACCTCTCGGTTGGATTGTCGCATTCACTTACCCCCAGATTACTGGCCTGATACTGATAGAAATTATTGGGGGCAGTTTTCAAAGGTTTCTAACTGCTAACATGCAAAACACATTTACAACTTTTGCCCTGAATGCCAAGTTTGGGAGTGAAAATTATTACGACCGCTCCATGGTGATGAGGGTTCATCTAGATTCCGATGTTCCGTAACAATTTCCCTGGGCTGGCCATTTCAGATGAACATGATAACTTCAGTTCGGTGGTTGAGGGACGAAAGCTTAGCTTGTGACGGACCCCTACTCGCAGCAAAGCCTCCGATAACGACCAAAATTTACAAGCAGACCTAAGTGCGCAGTTACGAAGTCCCGAGCCACCGAACCCGTGCTTATTCTCAAAAACCTCGATCGTCCATGCGCCCTGACCTATTTCACTTGCGATCGCCGCCTTCATTTTTATGTTGGCCATATCGCTTAATATTCACCTCAGTTTTGGATCCATGGATACCAGGACTCAGGCCCTGTTTTTCTATTTGTCTTGACGGAGCCGTCCACCCGCCTCTTTAGGTTTTGAACGACAATGCTGGCGCCTGTAACCAACTCATGTGCGACTCTGAATCAGCCCTAGACGAGGCCTTAATTGCTCCGTACATAAGAAACTGGCCATTCGTAGTTTATGTCCTCCACTTTTTATCAGAAAACCAAGAGGCCGAAGACCGTTTAAGATGCCATTCTCGGACGCACTATTAATGGATTGTGGAAGCTAAGGAGCATAATGCGCAACACCTGTTTCGGTTCTGAAGTCGGAATGAAGTCGACGTGATATGTGCTTCGGATATCGACGGATGCAATCTGTGGGCTATCAGTAGACCTATTTTTAAGGACATAGTCAACACGACTTTCATCGATTGCGTAGATCTCTCAGAAGATTTCGCGGTGTGCAGTGTTTACTGTCCGTTTAGCCACAGAACCCCAATTCAACGTGATCGTTATGGTTAATATTAAAAACTGTTACAGTTCGTTGTTCTTTGGCTTGGACGAGTAACTACAACCCTAACTTCATGGAGGAGTCCATTTTTCAAAGAAACAGTAGGTCATGCTCTTCATGCATGTAGACCCTCTTCATTTAAAGCACTCTGAAATTCTGTTGAAGTACCCCCGACTTTGGTTTTTATTATACCTTTATGAAAACTTGGAGAGGCTAAGTTTCTACAACTTGTCTGAGAAGTTGCGGCTTTGGCCATAGTATGACCTCTAAAAATAAGTTAGCAAAGTCCAACGGAAACTTTTACGGGTAAGGAAAAAATAAAATTGGTAACAGGGATCACTAGTCTAGTCTGCCTGAGCTTCTTTAACATTTTGCTGTATCTGCGCTTAATCAACTGGTATCTCTTGTACCTCAAGCTAATCCCGCAGATTACAAGTTGAAAAGCGATTAATATTTATCTGCAACGGCTGAACCGACCATTCTCTTCCACTCACTCGGAGTGCCACACACCGGCTTGCCTCTCAACCGACACGGTCCCAGTTTCACTGCCAATTATGTCTTATCAGTGTTGGTTTCCAGAAAAGCAATTAAATTCGGTCATCTGAAGGAGAATTTTATTCATCTGAAATTTCGGATTCATTCCCCAACCTATCACTACCACAGACAGCAGGAGGAGGTAGCAGATGCCCAGACGTTGCAGTATTTACATTCGGCACATCCTACCCCTTACGATTTCACCACCGGTTAGTGTGATAAGTACTCAACCACCAGGAAGTGCTGTTCGCCCACGCATTCCTCACGCATTAGGAATTACTTTGCTCAAACAGTCTTGCCAGTGAATTGAGAAGGCAGTAATTGACCTCATTTGCAGAGTATGGACCAGATAACTTTGACTCAAGCAACTCCCCGCGTTTCTGTAAGATCGCGTTATGCCCGCGCCCCCCTTTAGCCGTCTTGACAGAAGACAGAGTGCGGTGGGTGCTGCGAAAATCCGCACCCACCACGCTGTGGGGCACGCGATGGACTTCGTCGCTTCTGACAGTAGAACTGTCGCAACATTGCGTTAGGCTTGAGCTATCCGAACCCGACTCTTAGTCCAGCGGACCGAGATATCTCTTCAGTCTTCAACCCTCAAGCTGGGATTTCAACCTCCTCCTCCTCCTCCTCCCTCTGTGATGGTTCAAAAGTATCCCGGATTCTTGTCATTAGGATCAGTTCGGTTCTGTCATTGCGTGGTTTAGTCAGATCGACTGAATAAGAGGTCGTGCCCATCCTATGGCTGGCATAAGCCATCAACCTCTTATGCAGCACCGCTTTAGTCTGTCGCAGCAGTGCAGTGTGTTTTTGACCCACAACCAGGCGTTGTACTTAGCTTTTTCCTTACTAATTTTCCATAAAATATTTTCCTTTTCTTCCTCTCACTTGAAGTCACATTCTAATTGCTTAACTTCATTCAATTCTTTATTTCATTGGCCTTCCACCGACAGGCCTGCAGCCCCTTCCTCGAAAAATCCTGGGGAGGCGGCATCCAGAACAAGAGCCTAACTACCCCCGGTGCCGTTAACACCTTATCCGCCCCGACCAAACGACGCCTTCTGGAGGCTGAAACTCTGCCCCCTAACGGTTTTGTTCATATGGCAAACGGAGAATTCACCTCTGGTTGTAACTGGCGTCTCTCCGGTGGACCTTTCAACGGTTTTGCTGAACACTGCGAGTCGCAGGAGCCCCTCAGACGTGAGCAATTTTCGAGGTCCTACTATCCTAGCCCGGAGCGGCATTACTACGGTCGCGGCCTGGCGGAGCAGAGGACGAATTTGTCCAAGTCTGCCGACTTTCATATCCTGAACACAGTAAAGGGCCAGAAAACGTCCGCGGAAGAGCCGAAAAAACGTGGTGAGACTGCGTCTTGCTGGGCAGAAATTTACTAGCAAAATTCCGTCCCATCATTTATACGAAACGCTGAAGCTTCCTAGATTTGCATTTCATTGTCATGTTTATACTTAGGTATGTCTTCAGTTACCGTCCAACTGATTTCCGGTGTTCAATTCTCACTGCTGTATCCATCAGCTCCTCCAATTGTTACTCGGACACCACAGTCTATCGTACTAACTAGGTGGGGTCTCGGAGTTCTCAACAGCACTATAGATGCAATTTCAGCTTATCTACAGCACAGATTCCATGTGTTGTGTGTGTGTGTGCTCTGAAGGACCGATTTCAGCTCTAGCAGAAGACCCAAGCCCTTTTTAAAAAACACTGAACGTCGGCCGATCTTATAGAGAGGAACGGGCCGCATCGATTAGTATTGTTTGGGCGAAAACTCGCAGCGGCACTCTGCAGGATAAAATTAATTAATCGGCCGTCGTCGAGTAGTATCCTGGCCTCATCCGTTCTAGGATGATAGTTAATTTTTCATTACTCCATCCAACCAAAGGTTTCCCTGACAAACCCACTGTTACGTGTAGTGTATAGTGTTAAGCCGCTCATCCTACTTGGTTCTGAGACATAGTAGGCTTTTCCAACAGAGTACCAACTTTCTAAATTTCCGTTGGTTGGTATTTCCGTAATTTTTCTGTGCAGCTCTTTACATCTACACTCCAATCGTTCGTTCACAATCGTTCTCCAATCGATTCGTTCACAAACCGTCCATTGATGCAAAAACTTTGTTCACACAGCTCTTATTCATTCACGAAAGTCCTTTATGCATTTCGAACCTCTCTGTCTATCCACAACGCAGGCCGACCATCACTCACCGGCCATATTCGGCGCTTATTGACAGTGGAGCTGGCTTTTTGACCACAGGAAATGATTGTTGAGGTTCTGGCTTGCGCCCCCCTGGTTAGGTGACGTAAGGACTATAGATAGAAGTAAAAACCATCTATATTTTGTTATATAGACAGATGACTTATAAAATAAAGGACGTCTGACGGACCTTCTTGTAGGTATAACATGTCACTCTGTCTCCAGTACCAGAGATCCTATTTGGGCCTTTTACTGGAAATATGCCTACTTGGCGGCTTTGGAATTTGCCACATGGTTAAATTTTCGTAATCCCTGTCAGTAACAACAAGTTTGCTTGCCCTGAAATTCCAATTAGATCGCTGTGTCCCGATTTCAGCATTTGAATTTTAAATAGCGTAGATGAATAAATGTACCCGAACCATCAATCTCTCCCTTGGGATCCAGAATTGAGATATATGTAATCGCTAGTTCTCGTGTTGATACTTATATACTACATGATAAATTCTTTATTGAAGACTGTGTTCAAGAAAGCCAACTCGCATTTGACTGTCATTTGCTCCTAGGGCAGCTGCTATCTTATCACTTGTCTCAAATCCTGGCGCACCTTTCTACCAAGTTTGTTTGAGGGGGGGTAAGTTTGTGTTGACCATTCAAGGTTGACAGGAAAGTAGAAAGAGTGACGCCTGCTGCTATTCGGTAGCGTTTGAATGGGAGTTCCGATGTTCAAACTGTTGAAAAAAGTTTTCTTTCTAACCTTAAGCAAGTAGGGTCCCACACGCCAATCTTAATGCTAGGCCATTGCGGTGACAATTTCTGGTTAGTTGGTGTATCACTGTCGGCCATCTTTGCTGCTATTGTCTTAAGCGTGCCTAAACCCTGAGAACAGATTTTGAAAGTCGAAAGTTGTTGGCGCGATTGACTGCACCGAGAACTGGATTTCGGGCACTAACGAACCCCTCAGCCGTCTTTCTCTGTTCCATAGCTTCCGCGCCGTCCGAGGCGACTTTTGCACATCTCGAAAACGTTGGGTAAAATGTTTGGACCATTTGGCCCGCATGTGCACACTCACCTCTAGGTACTTGTGCCACGTCAGCCAGCGAACCCGTTATACAGTGACTTCACAAAGAGTTTATGGGGTGTCTTTTCGTCGGCATGATTATCTGTTGTGCCCGCATTCGAAGGTGAACACTTCCCCCTACCTCCCCAGCGCAACGAGTTAAAATTTCATGATAGTCCGGACGGCAGGTGAGGCCGTATATGATCGCAGACGGCATTCGTCACGCTGTAATATTTCTGTGGCTGAAATCTTTGTACAAATAAACAGTTTTCAAGTTCAGTGCGCAGCCCCGCCTAAAGTTGGTATCTCAGCATGGTCCGCAATCATTTGTTCGGAACCAGCCCTCGTTGAGGGCCGTTCCGGTATCCTCCACATGTTGGACGTTCACGTAACAGGCAGGCTTCCATTGCCCCACGTCTCAGACGCCATGAACGGCAGTCACGTCACTGAGAAACGGGGGTAGTTCCGAAATCGCACCGATACCACTGAAGCAGTCAAACTTAATATCCAGCATATGGAGTTTTTGCGTGGATTGTGCGAGGCTGTCGTATGCTCTCACTCGTTTATCCTCGCATAAATCTCTCTCAACTCCGGATCAACTCTAGCGTCAAATTTGACTTACAAGTGCAAACTTTTCCTTTTAGTTAAGCGCAATACAAGTAATTGCATTCTTTTGTTAGGTTATGAGATGTTGACTCGCCCCCCCCCGCTGCCCCGAACAGCTTCGACCAACGCTATTTCCAAATGAATGCGCTGACTGTGTTTTCACAGTCAGCGTCTTTTATTTTCCTCCGTCCCACTTATGTGATAGCACGATTAGGTAAGGGGACGTGCGCCATTATGAAGAATGTTTGGTCAAGTTTGTTGTCTGTTTGGAAATAAGTGAAGTAATAAGTTCTTGTGACGGTCGGGTAGTCTCTTTGCCAGTGCGGCGCCTTTAATCCTTTTGTTGAGGATGCTTCCGCCAAAATACAGTAGATGTGCTAACTCATGAAATGTCAACCAAAATTTCGAAATGCGTTCTCGTTTCGAAAAAATAAATTAAGTAATGTTGTAAAACTGATCATGATGCAGCGTAAATCTATAATGATCCAGTTACCTCAGGGTGTCGGCTTTCGAAAGAACTTATTTTCGGCTGCATGCAAGATCTAAACTCTGCAAAAAATGACTACTTAAGTAGTATGCAATTTCCTCATTGATTTTCGATGCCCCTGAAAATTTTAATTATATTTCATGGAAAACATGCATAACAATATTCATTTTTTTACTTATTCGGTATAAAATCACGTCTTCTTCCAATTTCATATTCAAAAGAAGAGTATAATTCGGTTTTAAAAAAGTTTCCGATTGTGAGATTTTTTAATACCGTTAAATGGCCGTTCATGAAACGTCATGTATCTGCATTTACGAATGTGGCTTGTAAAGTTAACAATATTGCATGCACTTCTATATGGTGTTAAGAGGAGACCATATGAGGTTCATAAAATTAAACAGTGGATTTGAGCAATATTGTTAATTTTACAGACCACATTCGTAAATGCAGATATATGGCGTTTCATGAACGGCCATTTAACGGTATTAAAAAATCTCACAATTAGAAACTTTTTTAAAACCGAATTATACTCTTCTTTTGAGTATGAAATCGGAAGAAGACGTGATTGTCTACCGAATAAGTAAAAGAATGAATATTGTTATGCATGTTTTCCATGAAATATAGTTGAATTTTCAAGGGCATCGAAAATCAATGAGAAAATTGCATACTACTTAGGTAGTCATTTTTTGCAGAGTATAGATCTGGCATGCAGCCGAATATAAGTTCTTTCGAAAACAGACACCCTGAGGTAACTGGGTCATTATAGATTTATGCTGCATTATGATTAGTTTTACAACACTACTTAATTTATCTTTTCGAAACGAGAACGCATTTCGAAATTTTGGTTGACATTTCATGAGTTAGCACATCTACTGTAATAGCTGGAGAAGCAATGGTGGCCTGCCTGAAAGTCTCAGTCAGTGCCATATTTGCGTGTCTTCCGTCCTACTGACGACGTCGATGACTATAAGCGAAACGACGTTCCCACTCGTCGATCAATATGAGCTGTAGACTGTTGATTTTACGGGCCTCCAGTTAATCTTGTCATTTCTCCTTTCTGTCCTATCAAAAAGGTTCAACCGCACTGCTTCAGTGGTTTGTCCGCCGCATCCGTCACCTCCGTCAGAGCATCAAGCGTCGTCCGCAAGAACCCGATTGGCATGCCTCCTCTACAGCGACCTTTCCCATATTCTACCAAAATTCCAACTTCATACCTCAGTCTGCAGCGGGTAAGGCACAGATGCAGCTAAAACAGCCTGGACAAAGCAAAACGACGATGATGCAGGGTCTGGGCCGGCTGGAGAGGTTCTGTTCTGCCGAAAGTCCCCGCACCTACTTGATAGGCGAGCTGGAGTCCGGCACCAACAGGTCCGCCTCATACTGCTCCCAGACCTGTAGCAACCTCCGGCGTTGTTTAAGTCTGGCTGAACATCAAAAACCTTCTTATGACTACATATCCAAGCCACTGGCGGCACCCTTCTCCATGGGTGTTATTCCTGAGCACCCTTCCACATCGAATGTCTTCGAGACGTCGATGGTGCCTCCTCCGCTTAATCTGTCTCTCCCCCTTCAGTCTGCTACTCCGCTCGGCAGCAGTAGTCTTCCCTACCTTCCGCGGAGCCCAACTTTGCAGAGAACCTCCTCTATCCACTATCAACAGTGGCCTAAACCGGACCCCGCCAACTTCTCTTTCCTATCTCTGAACGTTTTGCCCGCGCCCATCATGGATAGCAGCCAACAGAGCGCCGCCGAGCGACTCTCACGTTCCGCCTCCAAGCTTCCGACACCGCTGGAGGGAGTCCCTGACACCTGTTCTCAGCCACCCTCCGATGATCGACAGGTGGTAGACACAGAGGTTGCTCTGGGCCGTGCTGAAAGACTAGCACGCAGTGGTCGTGACAGCGGTTTTATTGACACGGGACCGCCAATCTTCAGCCAAATGGACTGTTCCACGTACTCTATTAGCCGCAATCCCTGCCAAATGTCCAGCCCGGTGCAAATGCAGCTGCAGCAGTCCAAGAGCCCCACGTTAGACCGCTGTCAGCCTGGTGGACTAAGAGGAACCCTCCGCAAATTACCGTGTCCCTACGAAGCAGCAGACTACCAGCACATTCTCAGCACCTGTTCTCCCGCCTTCTTGAACTCCTCAGGCGGAATTTGGTGGACCACCGGCTACTCTGCGAGAACAAACCGACTCCTTGATGGAGAGAATAACCGTGCTAGCAAGAATCTCAACTCGGTGACTTCACCGGCGAAAATGGTCGGTGAACCAGACCTGGTTCAGGGAAATCAGGCAACCTGAGTCAGGATAACAGCAGATGTTCAGTCTCCCGTCTGACTGACTTGAACCTTTTAAAGCCTTTTCTTGCACATATTTGTCAGTGGTGCACCCCGCCTGGACTCGGGTCGAGCACTGCGCCACAATGCTTCATCTCTTCTCCGTCCATCCCCCCGTATGCTCTCGAACCAATCAGAGACCCCTGATTTCCAAATATTGGACCCTATACTCCAGGCAACGTCCAGGCTGGCCCGATCCGCACTAATGGCAGCCAACTTTACGGTTAGCATCCGCAACCGCATGCGAGCAGACAATCCATCGCCTTCGCGCTCCGTCAGGCGCGAGCGCGCGCGCACATATTTGAGAAATGAAAGAGGCCTTGAGCAAGCTGCGATTTGCCGCTGTGTGGCATCCTTGCTCTCCCAAATCATATCAGTATCTCAAAATGCAATTGTAGTTTTTCCCTCGTCCTTATTTTATCTGCTCTATTCGTTGCAGGTGTACTCTTTTCTCCTTTGTTCTTCTGAAATAACACTCCCACACTTATGCTTGTCAAGGGAATATTGCAATTTGACGCGAATTCTTGCCAATTCTGGCCTAGGGCATAACATGACCTAGATGCGTCGGTCTCCTGAAGTCCAACTGCCTTGAAATCAGGCCTTGACATTCGAGTCGCGATTGTCATTGTTTAGGGCTTACTTTCTTGCGGACGAATCGGCCGCTGCGACTTGTAAAGTACGGATTACCAGATTTCCGAACACGATCGGTCTCCTTCTCGGATGTCGTACTGCCTGGACGATGTGTGCGTAAAACATTACGTACCTCGAAGGATGGACCGTCTACTGGCGTCTTGCCCTGTCGAGGCCCAACGAAACGATTTGCTGTTTAATAGTAGTGTGTTTTTGGTATGCTCCGTTAGAAGACGGGGCAATCTATTGCGTTCTAACAACCACTGGGCGGCGTGGTCAACTCAGGGGCATTAGAGGAAAAAAGAGCACATGACGCGCGAAGAAACCTTTAATTCAGCAATTTTTAAGAACATGCGTTGGGTAGAAAGCGAACGCGACCCAAACTCGTCAACTTACATACGTAACTAATTTTGCCTAGCACTGATAGGCAGTTCGATCGTTGCTGGCTACGATGTCCACCGCGGGCACCAGGGCCAGGTGAAAGCAGGCACGGCGACGTGGGCGTGAATTAATTTATAGTGAGAGCGGACTTGAGCAGCATCTACCGCACTTTCTCCTCCTCAGCCACCTGAGCCCGGTGTCAAGAAGACCGAAGGTGGGGAATGAGACAGGTGGCTGGCACAGCCGGCCCGCACCTGGGCGTACTACCGCACCGCCTGGACCACAACAAGCACACGGCCAGGATTTTAACCAACAGTAACAACGGGTCAGAAAGGGGAGGATGACTGGGCAACCATGCATACGACCTGTATACCCGGCGGAAGCGCAAGCGTATCTACCCGCAGGGAATCAGGTGCCAGAGAACTACCAGCACACATCAGGCCGCGAGGGTCATGGTTTGCTGAATCATGGAGTAGCAGCCGCCTACAATCCTTAAAGCCCAGAAGCGTGAGACGCAGCCCTGTACGCAGCCTAGGCTATCTCCATTCAAAGGTCGGGTAACCGGTCAGTCGTAGACTTAGGTATTTCCCATAAAACATACACACTCCTTACATGCGTGAGAGTGCCCGAGGTCACTTTAAGAAGGGGCTGTGGCATCCTGACTGTCCGTCCATCAGTCCGCCACTCCACACAAACACACAACTGGGCAGAATTCGTGGACAGAGTCGAGGTGTCAGTCAGCAACCTTCGAGGCCACGGTGCTTGACACACCATGATAGCCTCAGACTCGGATCACACATGCAGCATAGGAGCCATATGGAGAAGGAGTCGAGAAACACACTTTCCATTTGCGTGGGAGGTAGCAATTGAGTCTTTGCGTTGTAAGGTGATGGACGATGTTGTTGTGTGGTACAGGTACTGATGGGGGAAGGCGTGATGGTGCGGTATAGTCGGTGGTTGTCTACCGCAGATTTCCATGAATGCGCATGTGACCGAGCAGGCCCGTGCGCTGAGTG